TTCCCTACAGCTCCGGCAGCAGCAGAGTGCTTTTAATGACTTAATGGAAACTGATATAGAACCACCATACTTCTAATTAATCCCCTAATGTAAATCAAGTGGCAATAATTCTAGCATATTTTGACATCATTTAGGAAGATAATTACAGCCATAATATAAAAAATTTCTGATTTTTAGGAAGTCCAGTACAATTTTTTTACCATAGTTTTAAAGACCAAACTTCAGTTTCATATGGAAGGGAGCCAGCCATACTGCCTCTGTCTCCCCAGCTTCCTCCAAATATAAAGGGCACTCAAGAATAAAGCCAAAGTGTTATTTTTTACTAAAAAAATAGTGAAAATACAGCACCATTAGATATAGTGAAGTCACGCCCACTGCTGCTATGTCAGGTTGTGATGCTATATTTCCAATACCAGGCAATGGAAGGAACAGTTCAAGTCATGAAGATGTTTAACCATGTTAAAAAAAAAAATTTGGGAATATTTAAAGAAAAAAGGGAGTATAAATTACAGACTAAACCCATTGGTTTTTAGTTGCACTGTTTTCAAATTTATAATCTTTTTGCCACAAATCAGGACAGGTATGTAAACAGTGGCCCAAAATATCAGGTTTTAAAATGTACTCCTGTAAACCACCAGCACATTAGAATTTGGTAGCTCTTCTTACATGTAAGTTATTTCACAGCTGCCTGCAACAAGATTTCCTGCACAGAAGAGATCAGAGACAACAGTCTATGTTTTGGTACAGCAACCACAGACAGGCTTCAGGTTAGAAAACTACTGTTCACACTCCCTTCTCCTTAGAATACTGTCATCTTCTTATAATGTTATTGGCTAGACAATAAATTTCTACAGAAGGTGTTAATCCCTCTGGAGAAGAGACATTTCTCATACGCTAAACAAGCTTCTGTGAGGCAGCAAGAACTGCCATCAAACAATACTGCTGTATAAACCCTGTGGCTTTTCTTACTGTTTTAGAGAGGTATTAGATCTCTTTATGTGTTTAAACAAGTCTATGTGCCTTCAGTAAGCTACCTGGAAGCTAAAAAATAATTAACATGCCTAATGGACTAAAGATAAAGTTTTCAAAATACAGGTATTAAAAAAAAGAGAGAGAATTTCAGGCGCCCTTACCAAAAAAGTAATATGCGGCACAGAAGTTTCTAACGAAATATAGTGATTCCACACAACTGTGTTTAATGAGGAGAGGCAAAGATCTTCTGAAACGTAAGTACTTGTATTGCTAAAAACAAACAAAAAATAGTTTAGCATTCCACATTCAGAACAAATCAATGAAATTAAAAAAAAAAAAAAAAAGTACTTGAAAACCTGAAGTCTAGGTGAATTAAAAAAACAGTTTAAGGCAATTTCAGGTGTTACACCTACTATTTATTCTCCCAGTCTCTTTCTTCCATTTTATAATCATCTCTAGTTCTCATCCTGTTTCCTACTTGTAGCAGTATGAAAATGGAGGATGGAGTAAATTTACTCTATACACAGGGCAACAAACTAGAAGAAAGCTGCCTAATACAAAGTAAACAAAAAACCCAAAGAAAGCAAATTTAATCTACTAGGTTTCATTCAGGTTATAATTCAGACAAACATGAGTTAGAGTCAGTAACCCTCCAAGCAGTGAAGCCAGTGTAATACTGACACCTTTCTCCATACAAATTATATGTCTTTCCAAATGACCAAGGCAACCTGTCTGACACTATATGCAAATGAAATGAAAGTAATTTAATTTTCTACCTGGCTAAGTTGCATTTAAAAAAAGAGCATAACACTACTCAAATAATAGAATTTTTTCATAAATATTACAGTCACAGCATCCTGGATTTTTGTGCTCATTTGAAAGGGGCCGAGCAGGAGGGAGGAAGATGAACACTACTGGCACTCTTACAGAAAGCATGCCAACAGACTGCTACTACTGTCACACTAAAAAATATAAACAATGAAGGCTTTTTTGATCACTGTTTTACTTAGGCATGTCTTTCTGCAAAGGTGTTTAAATTTCTTACCTGTATGATTGGAAATGGCAAATAATTCATATTGTTAATAAGATACAAAAGACTATAACTGTATCCCATGAAAGCTCCAGAAAGTAGAAAAAAGAGGTGATATTCATTTAGGCACATCTGAGGAACAGCATCATCTAGGCTAAAATAGAAAACTTAGAATTAATTCTGAGTTCAAAAAAAAAAAAAAAAGGAACCTCAGGAAGTTCAAATCAGAAGTTTGATTTTAGTTTCCTGATCAGTTCATATAATGATATCTCAGTAAGTTTTTTCTAAAGTAGGAATCCCACCACCTATTTTTGTAATTTATGCATAAGGATGCTTCCAGTCTTCATGAGGTATGTCACACCAATGAGAAGAGCATGACTTAGTTCAAGTGACAATCAATTTGTCATCATTCAACTTTCCATTAACAAACCTGGCAATTTTGTTTCTCCGGCCCAGTTATTTCTCTGTACATTGTAACATTTACAAGGGAGGGTATTCCCTATCCTTTAATAAAGGATATCAACACATGACTGCTTATTTTTGATAGTACTCAAATTATAGTCGTTAGTTTGAAAGAAGCCATCAGTAAATAAATTTTACAATAGAAGTTCTTGGCATAATTTATCTTTAATGCACAGAAATAATTACCTTTCTGGAGGTGTGCAGGGCACAGCAAGGAACTGGAACTTCCCTTTTGTCATAACTGCAGCGCACCAAGCGACCAACATTCCCATTACAGCATGAACAACTGAATGGATAACTTGCTGAGGGTGAATAATTTTTCCTATCAGTGCTAATCGAGAGCATGGTATTGATGGCACAACTGTAAATAAAAGCCAAAAGTGAATTTTCATTTCTTACTAATAAAACTCTTCATTAAAAAAATCCAAACCACTGTCACCAAAAAACTTTCCACAGTTGGAATCAATTCACAGTTAGAATAAATTATAAATAAATTAATGAAGTGGCTCAGCTACGAGGGTCTCACTATGAGGTAAGCAGAAATCTGGGATGCTTTACTTAAATAAGCTTTGCATATTGTCTATATCAATTTAAAAGGAAATCTACCAATGTTAAGTATAACAAATGTAAATATAAACTTCTTTAAATAGTCATCCTATTTAATTTGGGTATCACAGACAGTTCAGCAATTTATATAACCCACCTGTATAAAATTCAGCGTTGAAGATGCTTATTACTAGTATCACCACAGACATAAGGAGGGTACAAAAGATGACGTAGGAAGTATATAAATCATTGAAAGAATCTAGAATTAAAAAAAATAGTATTATTGCTCAGAAGATCACAGCAACACAACAGTGACACACTAAGTAACAGAAAAGAACCCTTAAGCAGTTAGCAATAATCCATTAAGTGCATAAAAGGGAGTAATGTTGAACAGGCTCCACAATCTCATACCAGATCTGCTCAGCTGCACAACATTTCTGCGTAAAAGCACATTTAAAATTCAAAGAAGCGTAAAAGCATATTTAAAATCCAAAGAAACTATTTTACACCCTTAAAGATGGTTTTCTCATAAGTGAACAGTCAGAATGTTATTTTAAAAATCTTTCAAAGTTACTTAATATGGCTCAACTAATACACCTTCCCTTCACTAATAAAAGCTACAACCGTACAGCCACGCTTAAAAGGTAAGAAATTCCTTACAGGATAAACAGCTTTTGAAAATACAAAAGCCCAAAATAACCAACTAAAAGGGGAAAGAAATCAAGTCTCCTGGCCCAGAGCAGCTAAATGAGCACAGGTATCAAGCTTCCATACAAACATCTCTCAATTTTCTGCGTGTGCACTCGAGGGAAGGTTGTTCTTACCACGCAGAGTGGCTATTTCAGGAACTTCACTCGTGATTCAATGCACCCAAGTCAGAAAAAACTTAAGCTCTTTATGCAAACAGCAGCTGCACAGGGTGGAAAGGAGAACTGAGTCCAAGCACTTAGAACAGAGAACTGTCACTTAACCTCATGTCTTCTCTGAAGGATATATTTACACGAGCTCACAACAGTTATTTCCACCTAGGGAGAATTATGGCTTCTCTGGTTAGAAGTAACACAGAAACTGACACTCCAAAGCCTACAGACCACCCAAAACCACACAAAGTGGAAAGGTAACACAATGAAAAACCTGCAAATACAAACACGCGACTGTAAAAACACAAACACATTAAAGGGCATCTGGTCAAGTATTGCGGCAGAAACGATTCTGTTTTATAAACTGACGTAAAAATATTGATATCAGGTCGCTTTATGTAGCAAAGCGCTTAAACAGCCTCTGCGGTGATCAC